CTGCTAAAGCAATTAAGACCAGAACATTTACTGCCAGCCTCACCACTTCTGCAGCAGCCTGGCTGCATGGGAGCTGCACTTGAGGCAGGACGGGGCCTTGGGCAGCCTGAGCTGGTGGGGAGCAGCCAGCCTATGGCAGGGGTTGAGACTGGGTGGGCTTTAAAGTTCCCTTCCAACCCAACCATCCCGTGATTCTATGCTGTCTCTTGCAGAAGATGCCATGCCCTCCCATCCAGGTTGCACAGCATCCAACATCTCTGAACCATGGTATGATGGATAGGATGTATTTACCAGATATTATAAAACAAGTGGCTCTGATTAAATGATGTATGGTCTGATTAATACATGGGAATGATGTCTTCTTCCATCAAGATAGATCATCTTCAGAGCTTGCAATAATGAACTAGAAGCAATTACACATTGGTTACAAATGTACAGCAGGGCCAGGCTGTACAAAGCCTTTCATGATGCTGTGACAGTGAGCAAGCAACATCCAGGTGCAAGAAGTGACACAGAACCAGAGAGGTGACAGGTAAATAAATTGCATTTCCCCTCCAAAAAGCAAGTATCACTGCAATGAAACAATTCCCAAGCAGTGCAAGGTAGCACAAACAGGCTGCACACCATCAGCAGAAAAATAGGAGAACTGTAAAATTCAAGTGGCACTAGGAAAAAAAAAAAGTGATTCCTGTCCAAACACTGTGGTTTAAATGAGCCACGTAATACTGCCCCATAAAATGCTCAGAAATGCCATAAAATCCAAGTGCACCACATTCTTCTCAGAAATGAGAACACAGAACCAAGTGGCATCAATCCAGGACCAACCACCAAGTGACGCAGGAGGCTCTGTGCACTGCAGCTTCCAACAGCCCATCACAGCAGTGACCTCCAGACCCTGCTGTTCTGTAAGCCCTCTGCAAGGAAAGCCTTGTCTACCAGCACACCTACAAGCACTTTTTGAAACTTCATTGCACGTTGTGTCTGTGCGTTACAAGACACTTGGGAAACACTCCGAAGCGGTTTCCATACCAAATTAAGTGTCTCTCTAAAGGATGTGTGCTTTATACAGATATACACACACTCCTGCTGCTCTTCACGCAAATACCATGAGTTTTTATGAACACCAGCTAAGCTCCAGTATTTCTACAATGAAACAGACCAGCAGTCTCTTACTGCTCCCAAGAGCCAGCAAACCCACCCATGCCCCAGCACTCCTCAGCAGCTGGGTTTCCCCACACCTCTCTGTCAGATTTGCGCACCGACAAAACATTTCAACTCAGGAGTTCCCATCCAAGCAACGAACCCGTTGATATACATTAGTTTACCCCCTTTATAAAACTATAATGGATGCTAACAGAAGCATAGCCACCATTATGATGAATAACAAGCTTAAAAAACCCCACTAAACACAGAGAGAATGAGAGACACACTAATCCTGTGCTGAAAGCTATTCAGGGGGATTGTCAGCGCAGTGCTGAACTGATCAGTTTATTTCTTTTTTCTCATCTTCACTTAACTGGATTTTATACACAAAAGTAGATGCTCCCATGAGAAACAGCCCCCGATGGCAGCTGTTTTTTGGGAGGTTCACGAAGCCTCAGACCTACATCTTTACCACTACGCAGGTTTCCATGGCAACAGATGGCGGTGCCTTTGAAAAAATACTATTATATTCTAGAATAAGTATCCCAAATCATTCCTGCAATATTACCTGGAGCACGTGGGCCTGCACAGAGAATCTGAGGCTCTATGGAAGTACAATTAAACGAGAGCAGCAGAGCTGAGGGACTCTCAGAAGGGCAGAGGGAAAGAAGGGCTCTGCATTTGCAGAACCAGAACTCGGATCCACAAACACCTTTGTGCACAGCAACCTTTCACAGCCACTGTAAGGGAGGCAGCTTCAAGTCACCTTTTTGATACTAATTATTTATTAGAAAACAAATCAAAGCAGCCAGAGATGTAAAATAAAGTTGAATTGTAGCGCGAACAGTTCCCCAGTGAGAGTGAAAAATGATTATTGAGTTAAATGGCTGCATTGTTAGCAATTGCCACACTGAGAAGCTTACTTGGAAAGATCCATTTTTCACTGCCAATTTACCGACAGCGAAATCCACGACTCAATTAACTCCTGGGAAATTAATTCATTTCCCTCCCAAATCCTCCCAGCTCAGTCCTTCACCCCCATCTCCTCTCTCTTAGATCCCCAGATGAAACCATCCAGCTCCGTAACTCTGTGATGGGCAGCAGCCTGAAAGCAAACAGCCACAGCTCAGTGGCAGGGAGCACAGATAAACGAGCAGGAAAGATATATAGATAAAAATATAAAAGATTGACACTGACATCAGGAGATGACCAAGTGCCCTGATGGCCAAGGGAACAGTCCCAGCACAAACCCACTGGACAATTTCCCCCTCCCAGCTGCCTTTCACAGCTACAAATGAACTTTAATGTCCACAGGCTCCACTTTCTGGTATTAAGAACACACAAAGAGCTGTAGTGAAGCGCACAGCAACCAGCAGAATCTTCCTTGTAGAGCTGCACACGTGCTTTTGGGAAAACATCCTGCTTTAATTTCTGAGCTCCTACAAAATCAGCAGCCTCCGGAATTACCTGCTGCTACTTTATAGAGTCACAGAATCACCCAGGCTGGAAAAGACCTTCAAGATCACCCAGTCCAACCACCCCAACTACCACCAATACTTCCCCACTGAACCACGTCCCTTAGTACAACATTCACACGTTTCCTGAATGCATTACATGGGAAAACAGAGGAACTGATGTAGCATCCAGCCCCAGAGCCACCCAATTGTTCAGCACCCACAAGCACACCTTTGGTGGTAAGCACAGAGCTCAAACTCAACCCAAAGCGACTGCTGGGGGAACTTATAAATAGAAAACACAGAAATTACGTAAGGAAATAAATGTCAGCCTGCTCCCTCTGTACGAAGCCACGCACTGCAAGTAGGAGGCGGCCAGCAGCCTGCTGCAAGGCTGCAATATCTCCAGTTTCACATGCTGGGGATAACGGAAAGAAGCAGGTAAGAATTCAGCTTTGTTCTGCCTCGACTCGTGGCTGTGCTGTTCGTTAACTGTCATGTCTGGAAATAAACGAGAACACCACCAACTCCTCGCCCAATGGGTTCCCAACTTCTTTCCCCAAGAATTTCGGGATGTCCGAGCGGCAGCAACGCGCCGGGCTTCGGAACTCCATCACAGAGAGACGGCAGCTCCGACGGCCCATAGTTATGGGCACAGCACCACCCGATGGGCGATGCGGGAACGCGCCGTGCGGGGACCGCAAACCCCACAGAAGTGTAAGAGGCAAAGCGTGGCTGAGCAACTTTGGCCTTCTCTTCTTCTTTTTCCCCACAAAACTATCAGCAATGCAGAGCACGCAGCGCTTCACTCCACGGTGGACCTGCAGGGGAGCTCTGCTTTAAGGTCAGCACACACACAGCTCCGACAACATGAAAAGCAGCCCCTCTTGCTTTGAGCAGCAAAGAGCACACAGAGAGGAGGTGAAATGCTGTTAATGGTCAGGAAACCCCCACGGTCACTATTCCTGCAAAACCAACACTGAAAGCCAAACATACCGTTGTCTTCTGAAAATGAGGATTAGCCAGCTGCTTCCATTAAGTTCACATATGCTTAGTTCATATTATATTGCTATTTCCCTCAATTTCAAGTGTTTCCTGCTCCCTAAAAAGTTCACCACCTTCACTGAAAAGCCTCTTTCTAAGCACCTGGCTCAACAAATTCATCAGAAGGCACAGATCTCACCGTAAGTGATATGACGCACACTGAGAACCCAAAAACACCGTTGGAACAGAAAAGACAGAAGCAGCCCCACGTCTCACTTACTCAAGGAAGAAGCTCCCTAACTAGGTTAGACTTCTCGGCTTCCTAACAACTCTGCAGCTCTGTGCAGTTGCCTAGCAATGTCAACACGATGCCATGGTTTTGCCAAAGCACTGACGGATTACAGCATCCCCTCTGCCGAGCTGGGGGCTCAATGCCTGCCCAGCTCTCCCCATGCCAAACTTTCTCAGCCATGCCGAACAGAAGGTATTATTTAAAGGCATACATAGAGCTGGCTGCACGCTCAGCATCCGCTGCTCTGTGCGCTAGTTCTGTTCTAAAGAAGAGAGACAGAGTCGTCAGGGCAGTCTTAAAGCATGGAACCCCATCTCCAGCACTGAGATTCATCACTATTAAGCAACAACAAGGAGAATTTTTATTTCCTGTAAAATCTTCTGGTCTGTATACGATCAAAAGTAGAAAAACTAAATGCATTAAGTCAGGAAAGGGGAATGTTACAACTGTTTATTGTCCAGCGTTAAAGAGAAACTGCAGTTAGACTGTTTCATATTGAAATATCTGAGGGAAGAGCCAAAACTACGCACATCTTTCTTTCACCTACAAAATGGAATAAGAGGAGAAACCTGCACCTGTCGTCTCAAAGCCATTCAAACTATGCCTAAAGGAACTTGTAGGAGGGGGAAATAGCAGGCTGCTATTAATGTACACATGCCAGGCAGCAAAGTATTCCTTAACAGAGCCACGGCGAGAATGACAGCTGGGAAGGAGCGGCTTCCCGGGGAAAGTTACTTGAGCAGCGAGATGAAAGGGGGGAAGAAAATCTGTCCCCAACTCCTGGAAATAACACGAAACGCTCCTCCGAGAAGAGGAGCTTCCAGGCAGGAGCCCTCCGGGGCCGCTCCTCTTCCCGCAGCCCGGCCGGCTCGCAGCGACAGGTCGCGGTAGGGACTCCAAGTCCGGCAAGGAGGCGGCGATGCTCAGCCCTCTCCCCGCACAACTTCTCGAGCAGCCCCGGCCCGCGGGCACCGCCGCGACCCCTCCCGGGCCGAGCCGAGCTCCCCCGACTCGCACCGCACCGATCTGCCGCGGGGCTCCGCCGGAGGCAGGGCTGAGGCTGGAAGAGTTGAGGCCGCCGGTGATCGGCACGCCGCGAGAAGCGGGCATAACCTCACCGCGCTCACCTGGGAAAGCCTGTCCGTCCGCCTCGCGCAAAAGCCGCAGGAGAAAGACGATCGCGGCGAAGCCGGTCATCCTTCCTCGGACCGAGCGAGTTCACCGCCCACCTTCCCCGCCGCCGCCGTGCCGCTGCCTCCCCTCCGCTCTCCCCCGCATCGGAGCTCGGGCGGCAGCGGCGGCGGCCCCGGCAGCCGGAGCCGCGGTGCTGCTCGGCGGAGCCGCCGAGTGGCGGCGGGGAGCGGGGGGAGGCGGGCGGAGGGGACCCCCCCCAGCGGCCGCGCCCGCGCAGAGCCGCCCCGCTGCCCCGCCGAGGGGCACAGCCCGTCTCCCCCCTCCTTCGGATTAAAAGCCGTCCTCCTTCGCGCCTGGCGGTTTGTTTCTTGTTGTTTTTTTCCCCCCCCCTCCTCTCTCTCTTCCTTAAAATCCCGTTCCAAGCCCGGCTGCGCACACCACGATCTGCTATCGGTAGCGGCTGAAGTGCAGCATCGTGCCAGCGAATCTCGGGTTCCTGCTCCTGCCTGCTCTCTTTCTAGCGGGGATGGAGCGCCAATGCAGCGATCTGCGCTCAGCGGGGACGGGGCAGAGCCGGGAGGAGGGACAGAGCGACCCTCTGATGGGGGGGAGGCGGCAGCAAGAGTTCGGGATCCTTTGTCGGCAGCTCGCTGGGCGGCTGCCGCTGAAAACAGTCATTTTCGTCATTATTCACTTTTGAGAGAGTTAACCGCTGAAGACCGGATCACAGCGTGTAGTGCTGCACACGGGCTGTGTACACAGGCACTGTCTCAAGCAAAATAATTAAAAAAAAATCGCTTTCCATAGGCAACTTTACAAAAAAAAACACACTTCATAGGCACAAAATCAGAACACATCAATATTGATCAGCCAACCTGAGCTGGGATTTGCACAGGAAGGGGGAAGCTTTGACCACCTCGCCCAGGATAAAACGAGTCTTTAATCATCAGCACAACAGGAGATTATCTGTGACAGTAACTCAACTTCCCCAAGAAATTCCAGCAGTGCTACATATGCTTTTCCTCCGACTGCTTTAGGTCTAATAGAACACCGCTTCCTCATTAAATTTAATACTGCTCTCAGTGTCACTTAATCTCCTCTCTTTGTGCTCCCTCCAGCACACAGAGCCCATTTCTCCCAGTGCAGGGGATGGGGTGAATGGGGTCAGCCCTTCCCCAGGTACCTGCAGCCCATGTTAGGGTGGGAGACCACCCTGTGCAGGGCATGGAGCAGCACCATGGCACACAGCAGGGATGGGGCACTGATAAGCAAAGCATTCATCTGGGGGGCTCCTCCAAGCAGCTCCCCACAGCAGGTAGAGGAGGAGACGCCTCAGGTGAGGAAGTTTCAGCACCACAGCATCGAGATTCACATTTGGAAATCACTGTTGAAGTGTTTCACATTGCATTCCTGGTTTTGTCAAGCACAGACTTTAACAGTCAAGCATCACCTAACAAAGGGAACTTCAATTTGCTGCTGGTGTCCACCTGCTGCCCCCATGAGTTACACTGCTAGAAGCAGAGACTGCAACATGGGCACCAGCACAAGTAACAATGGGCCCAGAGCAAACCAGGGCTCACAACAGTGGTCCAGATTTTCAGTTTCTTACCTAAATGCATAAGACTATTTCCAACAATAGAACGTTCCTCCATAGACCCAGCAGAAAGACTTGCAAAGAGATGAAATACCAAATACCTCTTTCAAAAGTTCTGCAGAATGAGTTACTCATCCTCAGTGCAGGAGGGGAGAGACAGTCCCCACCCTTTTCACTGTCACAGCCGTATGGCAGCTTGACTCCATCAGCACACCTTGCTTATGGGGCAGGATCACCACACTGCAAACTTGGTGACAGCAGAGAGCAGACAGCATCGAAGACCAGGACAGAGCACAGCACCATTAATTGAAGCTGCTCCTCTATGGCACCAAGTTCTTCCCTCCTCTGCCTGCCAGCTCATAGGAACAGCTTCTCCATGACAAGCACTCAGGAAGTGAAGCGTTGAAGTAATTGCCATTATTTAAAAATAGATACAGAGCTGAGTTGCACTGGTATTGAGTATCTCCATCCAGAGAGGAGTCTGAGAGAAGGTCTGAGCACTGTGCTCAAAACCAAAGTCTCTGCCAGCCCAAAAAAAACCCTCTAGCCAAGGAAATGCAGTCCTTTCTGTAGGTGTCAGCATCACTTCAAGAATTATGGCATGCCACTATCTTTTGCTGAGTAAAGGGACAATCACATAAACAAGTATACGACTAGAAGCCTAATGTGAAAGCAGAGAACACGATGGCAAGGAAACTGAAAATGTCACCATCTAAGCAGCCTAAGTCACAGAAACAACCCAGCCAGTAAAGCACAAGCAAGCAGAAACTGCAGAGAGAATCCTGCATCAACACAAAGTGCTTGTACAATAAGAACAGAGAGGCTTGAACCACAGAGGTGATGCTGTTAAGAGAAGTAGGAGTGATGGGTAAACAGCAAAACCCAACCCTACATCAAGTGATCATCGCTTGTCTCCATATATATGAAATAAAAGGAAGAAACAAAAGCAAGCTTGCAAAGTGCATTCGGAGTGACAAAGTTCCATGAACAGATTTACTGAGGTCTGAGGAGCTCAGAGAAAAGAGAGAAACTTCTTCCAAGGAGAGATGATAACCTAAGAGAGAAGTCTGCATCATAAGCAACATAAAGGAGAAAAGGTAGGATCCTCATCCTCACCTCTCACTGGATGGGAGAAAATGGATCATAAGAAACTGACACCAAGAGGGGCAGAGCCAAACACCAGGCTGAACTGATGTCTGAAGGACTGTCCATCCAGAACCACCTCATTGCAAGAAAGGAAAAGAGAAGACGTGCAATGACTGCAGCAAGGACAGGAGAAACTGAAGTTACACAGATTGGTACAACAGAGCGGAATGCTGGTGTTAGTACTTTGGTTTGACTTCCGTTCATTCAAGTTGCTGCAAATTGCAGAATAGCACACTGCATCCATACTGAACACTGGGAAAGGGATATAACTGGTTCTGGAGCCACTCAATTTCAACAGCACAAAAGTTGGTGGGAGACACTCTGAAGGTTAAAGCTGAGCAACAGGCTACACTACAGCAAGGATGTTCTAATGGAAATGTGCAGAAATTGTCTGTTCAATTAAAGGAAGCATGATCAGGTCAACATTAAAATCACAACTTCACCAAAACATGATAAAATGACATACAAGATAATCCAGCATTACTACCAAGGAAATACACAGCAAGACTCTGCCCTAAAAGGAAGGTAACAGAGCAACAAGCTGCAGGCAGAGACTGCAGAGACATCGGTTAACAGCAAGGCTCTGTCAGAGTCCTGATCAAAGTTTAGTTTTTATATTAATACTCCTGGTTGTCTCCTAATGAGATACACCTGATGACACAAAGTCAATAGGAATCACTGACAAGGATTGAGAACAGCAAGAGAGGATTGGTTGCATAGAGAAGGGATGAAATCCAGCCATAAAAGATATCAAGTTGCACTGCTGCATCTCAGCAACAAGAAAACGCGCTGCAGACCAGGAATGGATCACTGAAACAAACACAGAGTGCAGCAGACTTTACAACCAGGGAAAGCTCTGAGCTTCAAACGGGGCCACGGAATGTGGTTGAGTGCTCCATGGCTGAGAGGAGCAGGGCACGCCATGCACCAGCACTGAGCAGCAACACACACATAAGCTGTGGCCTCTGCAGCTATTGCAAGGAATTAGAAGCCCACAAAGTGGTCTCACATTAAATCTTTCTGAGCTCACATCCTATACAACATTACCATGTCAAATTAGCAAAAGAGGAGTAATTAATTCCATCCTGGCATTTATTATTAGCAATAGTGAGACAAGCTGTAATGATTCAGAGCAAGGTCCCAAGTGGCTTAAAACAAGGAAAAAAAAAAGAAAAAAAAAATAAAGAAAGAAAAGGAGGGAAACATTGCTGCAAGTTCTAAAGTTTGCCGCAGCCTGTTGCTCAGGGCTCATTGGCTGCACAGCTCCCTTGCTGTGACAGATAAGGAAACGTAATCCTTGCTTTTACTCACCCGCAGACGGGACCGTTTGCCCCTAGAAATCAAAGTGCTGAACAACTGGAAAGCACTGTCAAAACGCGACGTTAAGTTCATTTAACCGCCGAGAAAAAATCTACCCGGATAAATCAGCTGGTGGACCCGAATGAATACATTTGTTTTTGAAACGTTTAACCGCCCAGTTAGTCTGCAAGCACCCCAGCCTGCTGCGGGTTGGAAACAGAAGCGTGCTCCTACGGCACACAGCATCCTTACTGCAGCCGGAGTCGGCTCAGCCATGGCCAGGCTGCTGCTGCCCCCCATAGACAGCACGGCTCCTACGAGGAAAGGAACGGCTTCATGACCACGTGCTGCTTTAGGGAGTGGAAAATCCATCTTTTCGCAGCTCCGTGTGCTCCTTCTGTAGTGCACCGGGCATGAAAACACGACTGCAGCTCCCCGAGATGCTGTAATTGAGAGAGATTGTGGAGGAGCTCTGTTCTACACCTGCAGCATCACTTCTCTGTCAGCACACAAATCCTCGCCTGCCTTTGCAAACTTCGGTACACATTACAATCAGCTTTGATCCAATTTGGTGAGCTTTCTCCTCCCCTGAAGCACGTATTAGGTATATTTATACACACACCACTTCCACTTTTCGTTACAGAACTACCTGTGATGCAGCACATCCCTTGCAAGTCAGCAGGATTCCCAGATGAGAGCAGCAAGTAAAGCTTCTCAAGCTGCTCCTTGAGCTCTCAGTCAGCACTTCCTCCCATTCTGCACTGTACGTTTGGGTCTGAAGTGTGCTCTCTTCTGTTTTTGTTGTCACAGGTGGGTGGAGAGGTGTTAGAGGCAGCACCACACCTTGTGCTGTTCTGGCACCATGTGCACCTTCACCCATCTGCCCTCCCAACCTTAATGAGTTCTGTCTTCAACTCTAATTACACACATACTCATGCAGATCATCCACCCCGTGGAAAAAGGGATCCACACTGAGCTGCACACCTCCCTACTGCAGCTAACAGCAGGCTGAACTCCTGAAATCAGGGAGGAGACTTCTGCCCCACTGTCATTGCCTGTATGTGTTACCTCCTGTTTTCCTCCCTGCAGACAACCACGTGCACCCACAGATACCAGCTGTCTTTTTTAATCTGGTTACATGATGGAAGCATTAATTGATTTCAGCCATGCTAGCACTGATATCTCATGCCTCAGTTTCTTCCTTTCTGAACAGGAAAAGCTAACTGCCCACATTCAGTTCTCCAGAAATACAAGCTCACCTTTATGCCAACACAAAGACGCTTTCCAGGAAATGCCAGAGCAGCCTGGATGCAGCAGTTTATCTTGACAAGGCCATATTATGGGAAAGCAGCGTGTTAATAACACGGGCAGACAAGCAGCAGCACCGATCAGCCTGAAAATGCCATGCAGCCCAACAGCTCTTCCAAAGTCACCATGAATTTTCAACTTTAATACTGACCTTTATTTTATTAAATAGTGAGACCCAGAGCTTTGGTGCGTGGGCGCACTCCAATGGAAGTGCCTTCACAAATGAGACACAGTGCTTTGGGACTCCAGCTCCAAAACTCAGAGCTAAGTAACAGCTAAGACCGCAGTAATGCACAGCATTTAGGTCCCCTGCCTGTCCTGCAGCACCTGTGCTGTACAGGCTGCTGACAGCACAGTGTGGGATCCCAGATGGGGAGAGGGGAA